TATAAACTCCTTTAGTTTTGAGGTTAATTTTCAACAGGACAATTCCTATAAGTCCAGGCTTAAGAGCTTACTAAAAACTTGTATTCTCTCTCTTCTGTCTGTCTTCTCCAGGAGCTGGAAAATATCATCAGTCAAATGATGCATGTAGCAGAGTACCTTGAATGGGATGTCACTGAGCTTAATCCAGTAGGTATAGGAATGATTTTACTGTTGGCTAAATTTCTTCACTGATGTGTCTTCTCTGATTTGATTTTATATTTGATAACATTGAGTTACTATTTCTAATCAGCAGCCAAAGTGGATTGCGAACTAGATAATAAGGTATATATGATATTCTGAAGCTCCTAGTATTATGTATTCTTTTTCTGCCTCATGGAAATTAAATCAATTTGAATGGTATTCTTACCCAAGGGGGGGTTGCTATGAGTCGGATCCAACTCAACAGGGGGGAGTTTGTTTTTTTTGGTATATGACTAAGCAGAAGCTGCTGAAGGACACTGTCAAGATTATGCCATAAGTGAAGGTATGTCTTCATTGCTTTGCCATGCCATAAATGAAGTTATATCTTTTGTGATTTTATTAGTATCTTTAAATCGAAATAACTAAAATTTTCATACAGAGAAGATAAAGGCAATTAAAGATGATGACATTTTCCTCAGCACAGTGTGTTATTTAATACCCTCTTCTCTCTGAAGTTGCTGTTAGGTACTACTGAGTCAGTTCTGACTCACAGTTACTCTATATACAGCAGAAGGAAAAACTGAAAAGCTGCCCAGTCCTGCACCATCCTCACATCCTTTGCTATCTTTGAGCCCATTGTTGCAGCCACTGTGTCAATCCATCTCATTGAGGGTCTTCCTCTTTTTCTCTCTAAGGAAGATACAATTGTTTTCTTCATTTTACAGATGAGGAATTTCAGAGGCAAAGATGTTAAAGTTACTTGCCCAAAACTCTTCAGCTAGTGAGCTGGGAATTTTAAATAAGTTATTGAAGAAAAAGGAGCTGTGGTGGGACAGTTGTTAAAGCATTTAGCTGCTAACCAAAAGGTCAGCAATTTGAAACCACCAGCCAATACAAAGGAGGAAAGATGAGGCATTCTGCATCCATGAAGATTTGTAGCCTTTAGGGAAGTTCTACTCTGTTCTTAGAGTCTCTGTGAGTTGCAGTCAACTCAAGGGCAGGGGATGGGTGGCTTGAAGGAACAGTACCTAACAATACTTATAAAAACAGAAAGACTTCTTATTTTGCATAGGATTTGGTCAAAGTACAACATTATTCAAAATTGTATTTAAACTACTCGATTTGAAACTTTAGCCCCAAGTAATATATGGGGGAATGATGAGTAGCATTGATTTTATATAGTTTTGAAAGTAACTATGTTTACCAAATTGTACATGAATTTAAAAAAAAAAAAATCAAGTTTATTTAAGTGATATATATTTGATATTTGACCGTTCTTCACACCTACCCAGCTATCAGCCTGGTTATTTGATATAGAAGCTCTGACAGCATTTCACTTTCTTTGCAAACTATAATGAAGAAAGTCACAAAGTCAGTGCAATGTCATGTATGATGACAGACACTTTTCAATTGGGATTGGGGTTTGTTCCGATTCTAATTCAAGTATTTAATTTTAGATGTGGGAATGCATATGTAAAAATATTATTAACAGTTTGCAGTTTGTTTACGGAATAATAAAGTAGATCATAACACTCATTTGATTCTACTAAGAATTTTGTTTGATTCACTTTAATACTGTTTTCATTGAAATCAAGGGACTGCTTATGAATTCTGTTGCCCTTTCTGTTTAAGTCACTCTAAAATGGCTTTCTCCATTTCTAGTCACCTTTCCACTTATACAAATTATTAATCTGTCAATCAGAGATTGGTATAATTACAAATTTGGAGTGGAATTCAGAACCCACTCTTCACAAAAGCTGTTTTAATCAGGAAACTGCATTCTGCATATTTCTTACCTTGACCTTAGAGATCCCATGGACAGTTTTACCATCATGTCCCTGTCAAATAAAATGAAATTACAAAATATATGTGACATCCTTAAAGACTCATTTACTAGAATTGGATGACTTAAGGACCCCTGGTGGTACAACAGTTAAGTGTTCAGCTGCTAACCAAAATGTTAGAGGCTTGAACCCACCAAGTGGCTCTACAGGAGAAAGATAGTTTGATCTGCTCTTGTGAAGATTCCCAACCCACAGCCATCAAGTGGCTTCTGACTCATATTGACCCTATAGGACAGAGTAGAACTGTGCCACAAGGTTTCTAAGCCTGTAAATCTTTACAGAAACAGAGTGCCTCATCTTTCTCCCATGGAATAGCTGGTGGGTTTGAACCACTGACCTTTTGATGAATAGTTTAATGATTTAAACATTGCCACCAGAGCTCCTTCTTGTAAAGATAACAGCCAAGAAACCCTAAGGGGCAGTTCTGCTTTCTTACATGAAGTCACCATGAATCAAAAATCAACTCAACAGGACCCAACAATAAAAATAACTTTGGTAACCTAACTGCTTTACATATAAAAATGAAATGTTCCCCTTGCTTATAAATCAACAAAATTCAAGGATCTTATAGATTTACCAAAAAAAAAAAAAAACAAACAAACAAACAAAAAAAGAAACCACAATCGTGGGCTAAATTCATGTGGATGTGTTAACAATGTAATGATCCAGACAAAATTTACAATGTGATAAAATAGATAGATGGCGATAGTGGCATACTTGGATAAGTGCATTAAGTGTTGTATACTGCACATTAAGAATGACATGTACTAATTACCTTTAATAAGATTTTCCATAGAGTGGAAACGAAAATGTCAAGGAATGCCAATGCCATGCTGTATAAGTATTACTTGAAGCAGATAGATTTATCTGAAAAGGGAATAGAACAAATAGCATAAGAAAACATAGTAGCTTTACTTAATTATCTTAGAAAATGCTCCATGAGAAGGTATTTATACTTATTCTGTTGGATCAGAAGGTAAAGCCTGGTGGAATGGAATAAATGGATGTGATAAGTCAATAAAAGAAGAGACATTCTGTATCATCATACATAAGATCTTTGGGTCTTTGGGAACATTAGTACTGTTCAGAATGAAATGGAGTTCCTTAGGCAAGAGCTCACCTCTTATGACTAGAGTATGTGTTCACACAATAAAAAATTAGTGCAAGCTTCAGTAGGTTATTCAAGTCTTTATATAGTTATTGTTTGGAGTTTGAGCTAAAAAAATCTCAGGTTATTTTTAGTTCAGATTCATCATGATAATAACTGGAAAGGGAGTGGAGTTGCAGTTTGTCCCTTCTCCTGTTTGTGGAAAAGCCTGGAAGGTTAACTGCTACTTCTATGGTTTTATGGACTTTAGAGGGAGAGAGTGAGTGTCTCCTTGCCCGAGCCTGCATGGCTTTACTGGTATGGGAGGGAGAAGGGTGGTTTCCTACCTTATTTCAAAGCACAAGTGTGGTTGTTGTGTGCCATCGAGTAGACTCTGACTTATAGAACCCTATAGGACAGAGTGGAACCACCCCTGTAGAAGTTCCTAGGCTGAAATCTACAGGAACAGATCACCAGGTCTTTTCACTCATGGAGTGGCTAGTGGCTTAGAACTGCTGACTTTTTCATTAGCAGCCAAATACTTAACAAATTACCAACAAGATGGTTCCTTTTTTGGAGGTGTCAGGAGGAGGATATAGATTTGAGGAAAGGGAGGTCTGGATCCATGAAGATGGACACAGTGGTGACTGGACACTGTAACTGTGACATATACCTACTGGAGAATACAAATAATAAACTATGATACAGTATTTATCATGGCAAGCACTGGTCATTCTGTGACTGCTGTGGGGAGTCCAAAGAGTAGGAAAAAACAAAAATAAGCAGTTGCTTCACAGTCCACTCTGATTCATGGTGAGTCATGTGTTAGAGTAGCCTGCCTCCATAGGGTTTTCAGTGGTTGGTATTTTTGGAAGAAGATTATCCAAGACTTTCTGTCGAAGTGCCTTTGGTTGGATTCAAATCCTCAAGCTTTCATTCCCCAGCTGAATACATTAACTGCACCACTCAAGGACCCCAAAGAGTAGGAAAATAGGATAAACTTTACCTTCTGCTGTGTGGTTACTGTCATGGTAACTGTGTCATCCTACCTATTGGTTCCAAAGGGTTCCTTATTTTAAAATAATATTTTAAAATATTATTGTATGCACATTGTATGACACCTGTGAAGTTTCCATGTAGTTGGCACACATGGTTTGCATTTGACTACTTACCTAAAGGTCATTGTTTAGACACACCCAGAGGTACCATGGAAGAAAGGTCTGATGATCTGCTTCCATGGAAATTAGAGCCAAGAAAACCCAATGGATGACCCCAAATCATGACCCAAAATCGATTCAACAACAACAGGCATAGAGTAAGAGAGATGATTATTTGAAGTTGATGGCACTTAGGAAAGACTGAAAAGTACTTGGGAAAGGTTTTATGAAACCAACCCAGGCTCTAGATTAATTAGTTGCAAAGTGAAAGCATCAGCCATCTGAAACAAATGCTTTATTCTCATCTCGTATATTCCTTTCTACTAATTCATCAGTGTGCCTTTACAGGGCAGGACATTTTAACCAGATCTTATGTCATTTTCGCACATTCTAAGTAATTTCTCTTTATATTTATTTTGGGAATAATGGAATAACTATTTCAGCATCATTTTTGTTCAAAACTTATCTCCCAGAGCCTGTAGATAAATGTGTTCCTGAGGAAAGACACCAATCAACCAAACAGGAGTGTTTAGGCAAACACCACTTTAACTCTCATAACAGCTTTTGAAGTAAGTACCTGTAGTAGCACTGTACCACAGAGATGGGGATGCATTGCAAACACATGCTGTAGGGAGCAATATGTTCAAGTCAACTTTAGAAAAGAAGTCTCATCAAACATGATTTGATTGCTTAACTGCTTAGCTCAATTAAGTTTTCATAGGCAATTAAAAGCAACTTAATCCTCCCCTCCTCTTACCACTTAACAAAGCAGTATTTCAGCTCTTTGCCATGAAGTTAATTTGTTCAGACATTTTCTAGCATATATTTGAATTAAAAAAAAAAAAAAAACAGGAGAAAGTAATTAAAGACCACTTATACCCTTAAATTAAAGATGTCTTCTTGTTTTAGCTGGCCCATACATTGGAAACGTTTTAAAAAGTTAAGCAATTACTTCTGAAGGTGGGGCAATGTAGGTTCTAGAAATCATGACAAAGCCACTATTTTCTCAGTAATAGGATGGATGTTGTACTGAATTTTCTAGAGACATGTCTCGACCTTCCACTTAGCTGCTAGTCATAGTTTATTATAACCAGCTTCCTGTCATGCTTTGCTGTATCATAAGCAGATAATTTATTTATTCACTGAACATGTTTCTACATCTCCTCTACTCCAGATCCTCCATGAAATGATGGAAGAGATTGACTATGATCATGATGGAACTGTGTCTCTAGAGGAATGGATCCAAGGAGGAATGACAACAATCCCACTTCTTGTGCTCCTGGGCTTAGAAAGTGTAAGCAGAAGGGGATAGATAGCCTGGTGGGAAGTCAGATGGGCTCACTATTCACATTTTGATTATAAATTTATCTGGTCATTATCTTTAAGTATATAGTGAGTGGCTGGATATTTTAATAAGTATGCTGTGGTGTAATTTAACAATAGCGACTTGTGTAGTGTAGCAATACTTGCCACAAACATATTGATTCATTTAGAAACTGCCTTAGGGGTTTAATAGAAATCCTTTACATACATCTTTTGTTTTCCTCTAATTATAGTGCAGTGTAATTGTTAAAGGTGCTCTGGTGGTTCAGTGGTTAAGTGCTCGACTGCTAATCACAACGTCAGTGGTTTGAACCCACCAGCTGCTCCACTGGAAGAAGATGTAGCAGTCTACTTCTTTAAAGATTACAGCCTTGGAAACCATATGGGACAGGTCTACTCTGACCTGTAGGGTCTCTATGAGTCAGAATCAACTTGATGGCAATGGGTTTTCTCCCAGTTGTTAAGAAAATAAATACTAATTGACTTTCTTACATATTCTAATACAAGAGACCCTCTTCCCAAATCTTACTGGTTTCTTTGGCTCTTTTGACATTCCATACCATTCCACAACTCTACCCCCTTTAAAATACTAAATTTTATTGATAACAAATGCTTGGCACAACCAGTTATATATTGAGGTAGTGGAGAATTTAAATATACAATACACACTAATTTTTATTGCATATCAGTAAATCAGCCACTGTGTCATTCTAAGCATGTCAAAAGCTTTCTTGCATCAGTGCATCCAGTGGCAATTAAATATTGGTCTTGCAGAATAAAAAAAGTCAACCTAAGAACAGAATATGATAAAATAATGACTTTGAATGCAAATTTCATTGACCTAACTTTGCCATAAATTTCAGTAATTCTTAGAAAAAGACAAAACAACAATGACATCAACTCATCACTTACTGGATATTCAAATTTATCATTGAGAATTGAAAATGTATTACCTGTAATATATTGTTGTTAGGTGCTGCCCAGTTGGCTCCAACTCATAGTGACCCTATGTACAACAGAACGGGACACTGCCTGTTCCTGTGTGGCCTCACAATCCTTGCTATACCTGAGCCCATCGTTGCAGCCACTGTGTCAGTCCATGTTGCTGAGGGTGTTCTTCTTCATCATTGACCTTCCACTTTACCAAGCATGACATCCTTCTCCAGGGAATGGCCCCTTCTGACAACATGACCAAAGTAGGAGAGTTGAAGTCTGGCCATTCTCACTTCCAAAGAGCATTCTGGCTGCACTTCAACCAGGACAGATCTGTTAGTTCTTCTGGCAGTTCATGGTACATTCAGTATTCTTTGCCAGCACCACAACTCAAAAGCATCAACTCTTCTTCAGTCTTCCTTATTCATTGTCCAGTTTTCTGACATGCACATGAGGCTATTGAAAATACCATGGCTTGGATTAGGTGCACCTTAGTCTTCAAAGAGACATCTTTGCTCTTCAGGACTTTAAAGGGTTCTTTTGCAGCATATTTGCCCAGTGTAATATGTCATCTGATTTCTTGACCTATAATATAGTAAAAAAAAAAAAAAAAAAAAAAGTTGCTTATTTTCAGAATATCAGTAATGGAAAACACCATGGCATAGATAATATTTAGAGTTTTGAGCTGCAATAATATAGTATTATTATTGCTCCTGTGCAACAGCTAGTGGTTTCAAACTGCCAACCTTTTGGTCAGCTGCCCAGTGCTTAACCATTATTCCACCACCAGTGTTCCTTGTTTCAAACTTCTACTTAGAGCAATATCAATTTGCATATTTAAGACTGTACCACATTTAAACATGATATCAACTTTTAAAAAGTTATCTCTCAAAATATCTTACAATCTGTGTTGATGAAACATGTGAGTGGTATAAACATATGTTTATTTATATAAAGTGTGCAAATATATCAATGAATTTCAGGACAGTAGCATTTGTCACTTTTTTTTCTGGATCTTCAAATTCCTTTACATTCAGTTGAATCCTAACCCTTATGACACACATGAAGTTTTAGGAATGGTCTAAGAAGGAAAAGAAAAAAAAAATACTAATATGTGATATAAAGGAGATTAGTCTTAAAATGAACAATTTGTAAGTGTATGTGGTATGCAGATGTGTGTGTGTGTGTATACACACATATATACAAAATACAGATATTAAAATAAAGATGTTATTGTTCATACATATACATTTCCACATTTCAAAAATTAAAGAAACAATAGCTCTCAGTGCTGGATGTTCATATACTACACATAAAAGGGTGTTTTTCTATAATAACGTATTATGTATCTCTATATTATAAATGGGAGCTCTGGTAGCATAGTGGCTAAGACACTTGCCTGCTAACCAGACGGCTGGCAGTTCAAACCCACCAGCCACTCCTCAGAAGGAAGGTTGGGCAATCTACTTCGTAGTGATACTGCCTCGGAAACCCAAGGAGGGGTCGCTCCTGTGCAACAGCTAGTGGTTTCAAACATAACAACAACATATTATAAATAAATATTTTTAATTGTTTAATGTAATTTCTGGCAAGAATATTATGGATATTAAACTATTCCAATAAAATTAAAATAAAAACAATGAGATGTTAAAGTTTAATATGTACTCTCCTAAAAAATAGTTACATGACTCTTTCAAGGAGTTTCAATAAAAATCATTACTTTTGGGAAATGTTATATTTTTAAAACTAAAAGTTTTATTTTTCTGGTAGTTTAGAAAATCATATTATGAAAGAATAAGGGAAAAGGCAAGAATGGGTGAAGATAGCATTTGGAAGTTGAGTGAAGGGACAAGGAAAGAATCATACACATTTTAAACTTAGAACGCTTCTTAAAATGACTTTTTGCTCTGGAATTCATTGCCTAAAATCCTGTAAAAATGTAGATTTTTGATAACATGTGAAAGTAGCATGAATAAATATAGTCCACAAATCTAAATGAACTTAACTTGTTTTTTTTAAAACATATGACATCATTATGGTGGTTACTTCAACTGAATAATTCTTCGTTTAATATATGAAATTTTAATTATGCATAATTTACTTTATAAATTAATTCATAGATTTATCTTTTGGAATTTGGAGGAAAAAAAGGGCATGTTTTTGGAGCTTTATAAGAGAGAAGGATTTGAAGTTTCATAGACTTAATCAGAGTTGTATTTCCAGTAATGACCACTAGATGGCAGGGCTATATTGTTTTAGCATTTTTAGGCCCGCGTACATATTCTGGGCATTGGATTTTTCTCATCCGTAAAGAAGGATTCTGAAAGAAGAAATTTCTCGTTTTCATCATCATCTTTTTTTTTTTTTTTTTCAAATAATAAGTCAATAATCTTTTAATAAAACATATAAACTATATAATTATAACCAGAAAGCGGAGAACATCTATTTGTTACAAACAGCATTTTTATCTAAGGCATGGCGTTTCACAAAGCGTAAATGACACACTGCCAACTGAGTGATGAGGACTTTTTTTAGTGATTGAGATTTTTTTTTCCTTTTCGTAGGCAATTAATATGTTATTTTATTACTTGTAGAGAATTTGATGCCCTCCCCACTTTCTCACCCCTTAGTTTGTTACATTGGAAATATAGATGCTTTAGCTTGAATTTGGCCATGCCAAATACAGTGAATACTGAATTGTTAGGCTGTCCTATATATTCCTGTTTGTTTTCAATTAGGAGCTTGGAGAGTAGATTCTAATTGATAGGGCATGTTAAATACCTCAGTGTATTTGAAAGTGACTGGTGTACTAGCCAAATTACACACATAACAATGTTGTCCAAGGTGTGTAAACCTCACTGCTAATGCAAGTCAGAGCAGTTGTGATGTTGTTGTCGTTTGCATTTCTCCATCTACAGAATTTAAAGGCTACTGGATTATAAATTTGTTTTGGTTCTAAAATGAGAAATGTAGCTTCTCAGGACCTGACTATATGACTACATGTGACTATAAGACTATATGACTACGTATGACTATATGACTAGAGAATATGAGTCAGTTCCTTTCTCTTACACAAAGGTTTTAAAAGTTTAGAACACTCAAGATAAATGAGTAACAAGTAGCACAGAGCCTTGGTACATCTGAAAGAGCATTGAAAGTTTAGGTAGCACTTGTGATTTGATTAATAAAAATGAATACTTGAGACTTATTCATCTTTCTTTCAGCATTCATCTCATCAAAGAATTATTTTAAAAGCTCAGTTTAGAATGAAAATCCATTTCTTTTTTTAAATAACTCTATCTAGAAATTGACTCTTTTCCAAGGATTGGCAAACTTTGTCTGTAAAGGGCCAGATAGTAAATATTTTAGGCTCTGAGAGCCATATGGTATCTATTGCAACTGTTCAACTCTGCACTGTAGCTTGAAACAGACATGAGCAACAAATAAGTTAATGAGAATGTCTGTGTTCTAATAAGACTTTATTTATAAAAACAGGTAGCAGGCCAATTTGATGAGAGGGCCATAGTTTTCCGACTCCTGCTCTATTTCATCACTAATTTGTCATGTCAAAACAGAAACAGTTTTAATGTATTTTAAATCTTTCAGGAGAAAAGAATCCAATACCTTCTATTTAGCACAAGCAGACAACCCAGCATGATGTGATGATTAATGGATAGTGGCTATCAACTCTGCATCTAACAGGTGGTCACCCTTGCTCTGTTAGGAACTAACTAGATCATTTTTGCAAGCCAATCATCTTCTCTGGGCCTATGAAAAGCAGTTACTTAAGAACATATCTAAACTCCTTTTTTTTCCCTAATATACTTTCAAAGAGCTCTGGTAGCATAGTGCCTAAGGCACTTGACTACTAACCGGAAGGGTGGTGGTTCAAACCCACCAGCCACTCCTCAGAAGGAAGGTTGGGCTATCTACTTCCGTAGTGATACTGCCTCGGCAACCCAAGGAGGGATCACTATGAGTTGGGTCCGACTAGATGGCATAAAACAACAACAGTATACTTTCAGTTCAAATATTTCT